GAACATATTTACTTAACGTAGGAGGACAGAGAAAAAATAATAAGATTGGCTTATAAGCATGTAAAAATGTGTTTCAATGTTTTGTCCGAAAAGTCAAGTTAAGTTTTCTTCAGTGGAATTAAATTTAAAGGATATAAATTTCCTGTTCTTATATCAATCTTCAGTCTGTCTTTTTTTATTGCTTTTAATTTCATGTCTAGAGGCAATAAGAAATATTTATATGTATAATATATAAAACTTGCAAACCATCGAAATATTTTAAGTAAATTTTTCTTATAAGACATATGTGGTCTTATAATTTATGTTCAAAATCTATAGATACAACAACAAGTTATTTAGCTTGCCATTGAATTTCATCGAACCAAGAATCTAAAGATCTCTAAATTTGAACCCTTCAGAGCCAAGCCGTTATTTTCCAGTTTGTTTGGTTTTAAGGCGCTTTAAAACAATTCATTCCATTTATGGCACCGAAACAGGAAAGATGATTTTGGCTAACGTCGGATGTTACAAACTTAAAGCAATACCAGGGGTCGAAAACAGCTTACCACCTCTCCTGATCATGTGTACCAAAGAGTTAAAATTACTTTATATTTTCCTATATATTCACTGTGTGTACTGCGTGAATTAAGTCAATCTTAAAAAGAGTTTTTCTTATCCAATGTAACAAAGTGTTTATACATACGCATCGTCAAATTGTTGTCATTTACGGGAGTTATGAATAATTGAAAAGACTTATATTGTGGCTACTACATTTAAGCAGCTATTATTGTCATACATTAATATTTGAGGTGGTATTTAATTAGTGTTATCAGTGTCCGGTCATTAACATTATGCAAGATAAGAAGCAAAAAACCGTGAAAGTAAATTAATTACCGCCATAATTACAGACAAATGTTGTTATAACATCATAATAAATCATTAACTGGATAATAAAGCATGATTTGTTATTTTATTATACTGATTGTAGGTGTTATGAGATCAGTTGCAATATTTTCTGTATGCGTGTAACCATACTGCCTTTATAAATGAAGTTCCATTTCTTCCCAATAGTATATAAATGGATTTAATATACCTGCTTTAAACAAGATGTTTAATTCTTTCTTTTAACATGCATTTTCAATACTTTATCCTTACAACACTTTCTTTAAACATGCACTTATAACATTTCCTTTAAACATGCATTTACAGTACATGTACTTATTTTAAACATGCATTTACAATACTTTCTTTAAACACTTAAAACATGCATTTACAATACTTTTTTTAAACATGATTTTACAATACTTTTTTAAACATGCATTAACAATATCTCTTTAAGCATGCATCTACAATACTTTTTAAACATGCATTTACAATACTTTTTTTAAACATGATTCTACAATACTTTTTTAAACATGCATTAACAATATCTCTTTAAACATGCATCTACAATACTTTTTAAACATGCATTTACAATACATTCTGTGAATATGCATTTACAATTCTGTCTTTAAAATATGTATTTTCATTGTTTTCTTTAAACATGCAAATTATAACACTGTGTAAATGTAGTTACAATACTGTTTTTTTAACATGTTTGGCAACACTTATTATGGAATAAATGTATTTAGTTACGAAACTCTTTGCTTAAATGCTGTTATAATACACTGTTTATTATGTGCTGTTACAATAAATACATTCTTCAAAATCAAAAAAGTGTACAAAATAGAGAACAGGTCTCCTCAAACGTATGCATAAAATCATGTAGAAACAAAATATGATAGCATGTCTGTCGTGATATCAATAAAGCTTATAAATCAATAAAAAGTTCTATTATCAGATAGGTATTGTAATTTCAAAATATGAGTGCAGAAGACCGGTTTAGTAATTTCACTAAATAATGTGTTCTTTAGAAGTGTCCTAATTATTTCTTAGATATTGCTTGCTTTAAAATACATGTCAGTAAAAAGTAGTAAGCATTATCTCAAAAGAACACATGTATAGACTCCATAATTACGACACTTTGATACAATTCACTTGTGAACAAATACATCTTTGCCTACCACAGCACTGCAATCGGACTGTGGAGTTAAGGCTTTTAATCATGCTAAAGTAGGCAAGCGCTTAACTGTACAACTAATTGCAATAACGTGTTATTAGGAGTCGACCCAACAACATGTTCAATTTTGCTTCATGTCCTTTGAGGTTTATCATTTGTATAAGATATTTTTCATTTTTTTACATTTTTATAATATTTAAACGACGTTTAACCATAAGAATGTAAAAGTTGGGTTATACCGAAGTCGCACTACATAAAATTTGGACACTTATACATATTGTGACCCTCGCAATAGCCACCTATTACTTTTACGGCTATTTTGTTTTATGACCAAGACAAGTCGGGCGATGTGGTCCGGCGAGTTGATAATAAGTATGTGTTAATATATTATACATACAAAGGTCAGAAGGTTTGAAGCATTATTAGATCAAGTAGTAACTGACCGATATTTTGTAGTTTATATATTATGTATAAACCTTATATGGCGTTTCTATTTTTAGCATAATGATAATAAATGTACGTTTGTTTGTATGTAAAACTTTAGGCCATCGTCAGTATAATATTAATACGAATGGGCATTTGGCATTTTTGTTGATAAAAATGTAATAATCGAATTCTAGCATTTTAAATTTTAAAACTTAAATGTTAAGAGATATTTTCGTATGATACGTTAGCGGTTAAAATTGCGTTTATTTCACAACATCGATTTTTGAAATTCTTCACGCCTTATGGGACGATATTATTTGAAAATTTATACGATTATCTAAAATTCTCTGCTACATGCTAAAACGGTCACAGCTGTGAATAGTACAAAAGATGTAAATTACGTTTTACTTTGAAATGGATATACAGTTAAAGTAAATTAATATATGCACGACATATCAATTTCATTGTTTTGTAGAATAAATTTTGCTTTAATTGATAGTTAGTAACGACATAACAAAAACTCTAGGGTATATTTAAAAACATGGTTTAGATAGACGACATACAAAGACAAATGACACTCGGTGTTTTCCTTTCTGTTAGTGTACTTTGGAGGAATATTCAACTGAATACAATCTATAGCTAACATATACATTGCATGGCTTTTTCTTACGCAACAATTTAATCGTACGTATTTTTGCTTGTATTTAATTGTAAAATGTTTCAAGTAATGCATAGGAAAGTATGGCGATATATTTAAGGATTGTTCTGTTAATATGTTGGTAGTACGTGCAAGCGTATTGGAGTTTCAGAAACATTAATGACTAACATATCTATGAACTTTATACATTACTTTATACAACAATGATACTTTCTCCTGTTATTGGTGTTTTTGTCTTGTTTTAACGGGATATATTTATTGCAGTGTCTAGAAATAAAGTACAATTTCAATATATGTCAATAGGCCATGCCTGTTGCATTAAAGACATCGCTTATAAGTCATGAAATTATAATTTGAATTGAATTGGTACAGTGTACAAAATTTGACTGCCAAGTAAAAACGTAATGCCACATCGTGCTATTATTTCAGAAATATGTATATACACATACATAAAACAGACATGATAATTTAGAAGTAAAATAAACAATACATGTTTAAATTACCAGATAGATATATCCCTAGATATATCACATTATTCTAGACATGCGTTAAAATGACAAACATCTAATTGATCACCTGAAATAACATTTGAGCTGCGTTAGATCCAGACCAGCCTGCGCATCCGTGCAGTTTGATCAGGATCCATGCTGTTCGCTTACAAACCCTATAACAAGTAGAGAAAGTGATAGCGAACAGGATGGATCCTGATCAGACTGCGCGGATGCGCAGGCTGGTCTGGATCCATGCTGGTCACAAACGCACTTTGTTGGTTTTGTCGTGACGCGGCTCACATTTAGGTACAACACATATCAACAAGCCTTCGGCAGATCAATGATAATAGATGTTATGCCAAGGTCGAATTCAGAGGATTTATAGTAAAAAGAAAGTATGCATATCGTTAAAGACAAACAATTGCAAAAACATATAAGTTGTGTTAAACTTTTGCTTACATATGTCAGATACCGATATAATTATACTTTTCGAGGTATTTAATTTTTTTCCTGATCACTTGTGAACTACTTGTTTTCACCTTCTAAAATTCCTGATAACAAGTACATTTGTAATTTTGAAATAAATTTATTTTTGCGATAAATACTCCATCCAGCCAACTGTTTGTTTGGGTATTTATTTTTATTCTTCATATGTAAAACGATCATGTTGTTTATTAAATATAGTACTACAGGCTTAGCCGGTGCTAACGAGTGTATGTGCGTGAAATATTTTGCACGTTGCATTATCTCTCATCAGCAAACACAGTACAATACTTGTCCTACAATACATTTACCTATTTTAGTTTATGTTTATTGCTTTTAAAAGAACCCTTGTATCGATTCGTTTACATGTTGTATAACCGCTGGTGTTATTGCTTTAATTTTCATTCCAAATAATTTGTTGAGACATTTTTTTTAAATAAGGATATCATCCAAAGGTCTGAAAAGGAAAAAATGCGTTGCTAACGTTTGAAATCTTTTTAGTTTTGAATAAGATATTATAGGTCCATTTTCATGGTATGATCAAAACAAGGGTAAATTCAACGAAACCTATCATCACGAGTCATGTATATTTATTATCCATTTTATCTTTATACGTAAAACTGCATATATTTCAATAAAGCATCATTTCATAACGTTATATTGTAAGTTTGTCTGTCTCTATTCTTGTTAATCACGATGGTGAACATTTAGTAAGTGGAAAAATCTATGATGTCAAACTAGTGTAAATCACACGCTGTAGTTAATGAAGCGTAAAGCTGTATGAATTTAAATGATGCTAATTAGTGATGAATGAGTTTAGAAAAAAAATAATTCCCATTATAAATGATCATCCGTGTGCGCCTGTTGTTATGATTTTATTGATGTAGCTTGTTTCTTATTTCAGGTAAGTAATATGGATATTTAATACAGAACGTAAATGATACACGTTGACAACATATTTAAAGGTAAATGTTTCTTCTCAAATACATTAAAGGTGATTGTAAGAAAAAAAAGAGAGTGACTACTAATGATTTGTCTTTGTTGTAACGCGGAGGCAATGCTTACCATTTTCTTGCCTCTCGAAATGCTACTTGTGACGAACCGATTATGTTTGGGTTATATTTTTTGTGTAAAATAATACAAACTTCGTCTATCAAAAGTGTATGTTTCACCATAGCGTGATAATAATTCATGCATCTAGTATCAAGTTCATACAATGGTCACACATCATTATAACTTATTAAATTAAGCATGCTCTGTAATAACAAAAACATTTCAGTGCAGTTGAGTCATGGATTGTGTGCTTTCAAACGAATAAAAATAGTATTAACATTCCAAACATTGTACATGAAATACAAGTAAAATTTAAGTTGTCGTACGTGCAAAAACCTGGCAGCAAAATTTCTGTCATAATCATTAAAAGTAAATGTAACAAGTGATTCAAGAGATTCAAGAGTTTATTAAGGCACAAACATAATGTCTATTACCATAAACAATAATGGCGTGTATACATACAAAGGATGATGCATGGAGTGTTAAGTGTCGCATGATCTTTTTTACAACAAACAGATTAAATTAGATAATATGATATTAGTATGAAGACTATGACACTTTTTACTCATATAATTGTTTTTAAAAAGTTGCAGGCTCTGTTTGTCGTTTGACTGCAGTGGTAAATGTTAGTTACGGTTTACGCCCCAAACCGCACACCTTAGAAGAGATCTAATATAACATTTAACAAAGCTTCCCTGGTTTGGATTATTATTTTTGTACCTATTTGGGGGCGAGGATTAAAATGATTTGTATCATTAGAGATGTAACGAAAGTAGAAATCATGTATGCATGAATTCGTTCGAAGTATATATTTTATAGCTTGTTTGTTGTTTATGGAAAGTGACAACCTGAAGTTATAAACGTTTAAGTATATTTATAAACGGAACGTCAAATAATTTTGTTATTATGATAAATTTATCACTAAATGAACATATGATCTGTTGACATTTATTAACTATGCAAATCATCAATGTACCGTAAGTTGTAATATTGTATTCATAAGTAAGGAATGATGAATATGGCATTTGTTATAAAAGGTCATGTTTTATATATATTAAGACTTCCAAACATGTTTTGAATACGACATATATATGAGTCATCGTAATTATAAGGCTTAAAAATGATAAGAGAAAAGGTACTTTTCATTTTATGTGTAAATTAACACTCCTAACTAATTGATTTTAATTCTCAGAATATAATTATACATTGTATGACATCTTACGACGATAAAATGGGAAATACATAAAGAAAATTCTAAAACAATAAGAATCAAGAGTTATTATAACATGTAGTTGAAATGGATGCCATTATAATGAATATCTGCTTGAAAAATACATCTTGAAGGAAATACGGTGTCATAAGGATTTCTTACTTTAGGAATATTTACATATCTACGTAAATCTCTCGAAAACAAATATTTCGTTTCAAGATGTTTTATGCATTAAAAAGTCAGTCTTCAAGTTTATTACCATGAACGTTCTGTTTTCACTGAATTAACTAAATAATTGATTAATTAACTAGTAAGTCTCGCAATTCTTAAATCCAGTCTCTAAGCATTTATTGACTATATTTTTACTATTTATAAACAAAATGTAAGGCAACAAGGAGAAATCATGTAGGACTTTAATTTTTTTAAAAATCTTATACGCCCGTTAAATATTTATTGAGACATGTCAAATGTAACATTGTTCGTTTTCACTTTGTACAAAACCATGAGGAACGACGTTTGGGTGAAGCTTTGCTGTTGACAGTCTCATCTTGTCTTATTGAATTATCACATATCACCTAGTAAAGCTCTCATCCGAATTCGTTAAGCCAAATGAGGGTCTCTGAAGACTTTAAAAGACACTCAATCATGATGTAAAGATCCTGACTGTCAGCTTTGATTGGCCATTTTATGTGGTCGAAATTCCATCCTGTTCATTATCCAAGGTCAATTAACATTGATTCGCACCTAATGAGAAAGATACACGGCAATTTTATACGGTGTGTTAGTTCTTTCACTGACAAGATAATGACAATAACGAAGGGGAAACAAAGTGTTTTCGCAAAATAGCTTACTTTATAAACAGTTGATAAAAATCCCTTAAGAAAGTCCAAAACGGCAAAATTGAAAATGTTGCAGGCTAGGTTTGATTAAACCTGTTCATTGACACTTACTTAGTGAAAAGCCTGCCAACGCTCTGCCTTGTGCCCTGTCCTGTTTTTGTTTAGGGTCCTCCTGGGCTCCTTGCCACTGGCTCTTGTTGCTGGATCGTGTGGGGGTTGAGTTCATTGAACGCCGCCTTTTCTTGTTGATCTTGTTTATCATATTTTACAATGTATTCTATATATATTTAAGGCTAAGTTTTGCAATGGAGTGTTTGGACAAGGTCAGTTACTTTTTGGTTAAAACGTCTAACAATAACTGCAATTTGTATTATTCAAAATGCTCTAGATGTACATACATTCACATACATGATTTTACTATCATGATTGTCCACCCATCACTCAGACATTGGATAATTATGTTGGATGGCCACATTATCGCCCTTTTTTGCAATGCTTCTTATTGTAAATTTGCGTCAAAATATTGCTGTGACTGCGTTCCTCTCCTGTAATGATCTTTAGCACCTACCTAACTTGGAACCATAGATGAAACTTTGAGACTTTATTTCGACGATTTAAGGCGATTGCGACCATTTGAAGTTCATACCTTACGGTAATTTAGATATTCTTTTCACAAGTATTTGTGAATCGAATTTGTTGAAATGTTTATAGTATTAAATAGTTTTAAGTGCTCTTGACAAAAAATGGCAAATCATAGTTATACTAAACATCTATCATCTAGACATATATCTTGTTGAATTATATTAAAATATTTAAATATGTTTAATTGCATATAATTGAATTAATCACTAAATGTTAGAAATACCAGAGATAATTAAAATTATTTCATTTGACATATTCAAGAAGACATTCCGAAACACTTGTGATAAAAAAAATATATAAAAGGTACGGGACAAAATACATTAAAGTCAATTTAAATATGATACAATAAAACAGTGGCATTTATTATCAGTGTAAATACTGAATAAGTAATTATTTTGTTTAACAACATTACAGTTATTTTGATGAATTGCGAGAACTTTTTACATCATTGCATTTTGTTGTATACGATGATTAAGGAATTTTATGAGACATTGAATGATTTAAGTAGCCGTTAAAACCATGAAAGTCATTGTCCAAGAGTTTTAAAGGCTGCCTGTTAGATTATGGTAGATATACTATTTTTAACTTGGAAAAAAGATAAACTTTTTGAAAAAAGCGATCAACTTTCTTTCTTCGTCCTTGTGTCATCTCCCATTTTTCTGGTTTTCTGCACTTCTTGCCGGTGTGGCTGGTTTGTATCGGGGGCTGCGTTCTGCGAATGTTGCCTATATTTGGATCTTGTAATGATTCAGTTTGACAACATTGAGATATTGAGTGACCTACGGACACATTCAGTTGTATCTTTTGTAATAAAAACATGTTGTGTTGAAAGGCTTATTGGACTGGTTTGGACATAAAATTATAAGTTTCCATTATTTTGGCTAGACACTATTCTTCATTAGAGCAAAGCAGGCATCCGAACAAAACATCTTTCTTTTGCAAATTACCCCCATATCTGTCACAATCAACAGTCCTTTGAGGTATTGGGTGCAAATGTATTTTACATGCAACGCCCTGTTTACAGATTAACTTTCACTAATCAGTTTGTCTAATAATAAAGCCAAACCTAACAATTTCTTTGTTAATATGTATACCGTAAAATGGTTATATAATGCTTAAGAATAGAGAGAAATAAAGAATCCCTAAAAAGAGCCCTAAAACGACAAAATTGGAAATGTTTCAGACTCGGCTTGATTGAGCCTAGTCTTCTTATTCATTGACTATAACAAGTCCATCGTTACTGCAATTCTTTGAAAGTTCATAAACTGGTTCAGACTGGTAAATTAATGCAGCCTTTATGTATCGGATACGATATTAAATTAAATAGTTCTTCGATTTTTCGCAATGAGTAAAATCATGGTCTTATGTTATTATTTGCGCATCATTGGTTTCCTGTATGCCGAAATTCACGAAAATTAGACAAACAACTTAAACGATTTCTCCCTGAAAACAATGTGGATTGAAGGAATAAACATACTTTCATATTCATTACGTTTGAATATAGAAAATAATTGATTCGATTGAAGGGAAGAAATACGTGATAAATAGTAGTAGTAGTAGTAGTAGTAATAATAATAATAATTATTATACTTATAAATGAATAAGTAAACAAAAAACGATTTCCAAATTATTTTTTGTTGTTTTTGCAGCGTAACGCCGGATAAAGCTTCATCTCTTTAAGTATTCACGTGATATAGCAGTATGTGATAGTGTTATAATTATATTTATGCTGATTAGTTCAGTTCATGTTCAGTGTCCTACCTAGTGCTGTTCCTATGTTCTTTAAAGGCTAATGTATCTGTTTTCATTTAATAATGCTTAATTACATTTAAGGCTATTTATGGTTAAAATAATTAATAAATTGGTCCATGCTACTTTTTGATGCCTTCTCAGCCATATCGTTCCACAGCTTCTATTTTTGTGGTTTGTTGCCATGTGCGACGGGATATCGTGGTCAATACCTATAACGTGGGAGACAATCCTATGTGTTACATTTTGGCATACAATTCACGAAAAGTACACGAACAAATATCATCGTATCTTGTGTGGTTGACATGCAAATATTACAAAGATTCTTTCTTTACTCACCTAAATAACGAGTCAAAGCATGTGATGTCAAAATAATGGCATTTAACATGATTTTTACTTTTAAGGCGTTAAGTTACAAAATAACACGAGATGGTAAGTACTTATTCTCAAGATAAAAATGTCAAAAAAGTGC